TCGTTGGGCGCTGTCACGTGTCAATAATGAGGCGATGCAGTTTCCTTAATCCTCTCTCTTCGCGGTGGTCGAGTCGCGGCCCGTTGGAAACTCTTCTCGGCCCTCCCGATTAATGATGTTGGGTCGGGGTTCTTCACATATATATATATACTTTTTTTTTCGTCGGTTTCTCGTTACGCCTGAAATTCAAAATCTCAATGAACACAAAGAACGAGCTCAGACTTTATTAGAATGTTGGTAATAAACATTTTCATACTGTTCCATTCGTATTAATCCGATTCGTTCAAAAGTACCTTAAATAATGAATCGCTTGATAATTTAATAATATCAGAATCAATTTATACTTTCTGAATTATTTAAAGGAAAAGTAGAAACAACAATTACTCGGAATACTGGACACATTGATAAGTCTTTGAAAATCTAAAATTCCGAATTTGAAATGTTTCATTCTAGATCTCGAATATTTTCAAACGATTTCAATTTCCAATGTAATCTTCGTGTCTTCCTTTGAATGTAAAACGAATAAAACAATGTTGAACATTGAAGAACGTTGAAAAATGGGGTACATACGTTTCTAAAGACGACGAGGTGGCGTTTGAAGTGGCAAAGGGTGGGTTATCGATGGCGGTGGTGTTTTTACAGGTCAGACCTCGTCTCCTGGACGAGGTACACCTGGGAACCGGGCACGGTGGAGGTGGTGACGAAGCTACGGTGTTTCGCGCGGATCAGGCTCAAGTTGCTTTCGGCGGTGTCGGCACGGTCCTCCGCGGCCTCAAGCTCCCTTTGGAATCGGCGGACCCTGGTCACGCTCTGCTGGGACATGCCTTCCTGTTCCTGAAGTTGCCTCTTGTAGATGCTCACCTTCTGACTAGCCTTGTCAAGGGATTCTTGCAGCAACGCAATGTTCTTTGAGTCTTCCTCGACTTGGATCATCACCTCTTTGATGTTGCGCTCCTTCTTGCGGAGGATCTTCACGGTCTCGGAGTGTCGGCGTTTCTCCTCGTCCAATTCGAGTTCCAGATCACGGATCTACGAACATCGGCAATCATAAGCAATCATAAAAAATAGCATTTATAAAACTGTGATTTCTTTTTAACACTAGAACTACCAAGTGGGTCAAGCTGACCTATTCCTAAATTCTTCTTTTACAATTATTGGAAAATAATAGATCCTTCTAAAGAAATTTCTAAAGAAATTGTTTTAGTAACACGCAAACTAAGTTTCGTGTGATCGAAGTCTCGATAGATGCACTCTTGAGGTTCCTATAGAAAAATGTTGATTCGAAATGTTGATTATTAACTATTCCTTCATAAACTCTTTGTATAATCATTTCTTTAGATGCTATAGAAAACTGAATGAAAATGCGCCAGTTCTAAGTATATATTTTTCTAGTTTCTAAATCATGATTCTAATTTTTAAATCATGATTGCCATATCCGTCATAGTCTAGTCCTTGTAAGAAACTACAGTTCGGTAATTCGAGAAACTCGTTGTGTAACGTTTGGTGTGTCTTACCCTAGCCTCGAGTTTGCTGATGATACGCTTGCCGCCAACGATTGCGTTAGCTTCGACCTCCTCCAATCTTACGGACAAGTTCTTCACTTCGATCTCGAGAGACTTCTTGATGGCCTCGATCTTCACGATGCGCTCCTGTTCCTCGTGCAGGATCTCAACAGTGTGCTTCAGCTCGTTTTGGACTCGTTGGTATCTTTCGTCGCTCACTCTCAGTTCCTTGGTGACCTCTTCGTAGTCGCCGGCCAGAGTTGCTAATTCCTGTTCGATCTTAGCTTTCGACGAGGCAATATTCACATTGATGGTGGTCAGTTCGTTGATGCGGCTAACCGATTCCTCGTATTGCTGCTCGACGGTTCTCTTCGCGCGGAGGGCCTGTCGAAACGCATCGTTTCATTAATTCTCAAGTGACAAGGGTCTGTTGTCATTCTTCCAGCGTTTAACCCTTTCCGGACAAGGATTCTTTGAAGTGTTCAAAAGTACCAACAAAAGAAACTATATTACAGAGAAAAAGGGAACTGTGTTTCAATCTCTTGTTATCTATATAAATAAGTTACTTATTTGCAACATTGTAGCCCAGATATGAAAGTTTCATATCGCCAAAATGACGTCGTTCGTCTACAAACGGTTAATATACTTTTTATCATCTAATATCTAATACCTTTTGAAAACTTCATGTATTTTATTGGACAGAATGAAGCTTGGATTCTGTTCTGAGCCCTCATTCCTCTTTCATACTACACTCTCTTCAAAGTCTGCCCTAAGCCAAACCTTTGAAACCCAAGCTCATACCGAAGCCAAATTGTTGTTCGAAGAAATTTATCTGCTGTCTATTATTGTAGTTCTAACCATGGCCAATCGGTCGGCACGCATATCTATTTATTCTTATTTACGATTACTCTTCGCCATTGACACGTTACTCTACACCTACACCTGGGCGACTATATTAATCCCTGGGGAACGTAGTATCGAATCGAACGATATCTTATTCACACCAAAAAGATCTGAATTTTGTTATTTAATAATTACTGAAATCATGGAATCCTTTACATCTGAAATTATTGCTAGAATGCAGTTTTATCATTCCTATACTAAATTTCATATTAACCACTAGAAATACATAACAAGAAAATCGATTTTCTTCTGTTTACGAGTCAACGAGGATTCTCTATTCGTTTAGTTGCACGATTCATGATTGGAAATGGCCATTTCAAAATTTACTTCAGTATGTACACTTTCGAGTAAAATATTCGGCAATACTCACAGATTCATAGTTGCCGCGCACTTCCTCGAGCTCGGCCGTCAACGATTGGAGGCGTCGCTGACTGATACCCAGTTGGTCCAAGGTGACTTGCAGTTGGCGTTGCACTTCGTCATAGTGGGCTTGCAGTTCCTGAAAAATGACGCGCGTCAGTACAGTTTGCCAGAAGAGCCGTCACCAATTATCGTTTCGGGGACAGCATTTCGCTTACGGTCAAGGTGAGCGATTGCTTCTTGATCGTCTTCTGCAGATCGATGTTGTTCTTGTTGGCGACGTCGAGCGACAGCTCCAGCTCGGTGATCTGGATCTGCATCTTCTTCTTCACGCGCTGTACCTCGGTCTTCAGCTTGGTCTCGGCCTCGACCACGCGGGCGTTCAGCTGCTCGATCTCGATGCTGGTCTGCTTGCTAATTTATTTCGTTTCATGAGAACACACCGGAACCGAGATCAGTTCACTGTTTCGGTTCTCCTGCCCTGTGTTGTTCGTTCTTTTCAGGGCGGGATAGGTAGGGAAGTCTCTAGGACGATAGGAGAATAAAAGGATCTTCGTTCAATATGTTAAATGAAGGTTTTACGAAGACAACATTCACTTTCTATTGCATTATATATGAAAATGTCTACTATACTATTGGGACTGATGATCTGAGAACGTTTACGTTCTAGGAAACTACGTTAACTTGAGTTAGAATATATGTATGATTTTATAAAGCTAAAAGAATGTTACTAATTATTAATATCATCGAAAGACGACGGGGACGTCTTCAAAAAGGCATTTCCTTATTTCATTTCTACATTCGCGGAATGTAGTTCAGAAAATAAATTCAGAATTCGAATTCTCGTCTATCGCTTCGTTAAACCATTCATTCGGTTAGTTACCGGTTAGCTTTACCTTACATGTTACCATCACACAAGGAGTAAGGATTCAAATGAAAGAGGGCAGCTACCGAATCTCAACAAGCATAACTTATCCAATATTTCTCGAAAAGGGAACCTAATCAGTACGAATTCGTAGCTACTCTATCCAAAAATAGTAACGTCCCAAAAATTCACTGGTACAAAACCCCTATCCGAGAACGCGTCTCGGCAACCTGTTACTCCCGAGGAACATCAAAGCTGCCGGACATCCGTGCGCGTCGGTCCGCGCGGAACAAAACCAGTCGTGTACAACATCGAAAGTCTCGCCTTTATTGTCCATCATCGTTGGTTCTCCTTGTGACACAGCTCTTACCCGCAACTACAACGCTTATCTACAAGGTATCAAGATTCACGGTCCAATCGAAAGCCTCCCCTATCCCAGGCATCCGTACAATCGGGTCGGTCTCGTCGGGTGTCGGTACCTCTTGTCCAAGAAATAGTTGCTGGACTTCTCCTCGTATCCCTTCAGCTCCTTGCTGAGGCTATCCAGCGGTGCGATCAGTTTCTCCTCGTCTAGTATACTTTTGGCCAGTTCCCGCGAGAACCTCAGCTGCTGCCTACCCTCCCAGATCGCGCTATCTAGCAGCTGAGCCTTTTTCAGATCCGCGAGTTCTTTGCTTTTGTTCAGATTCTTCATCGCCTCCGCCCTTAGATGGAACTCTATGGCCTTGGCCGACTTTCCGCGCAAGTTTTTCACTTGATCAGCAACGGTGCGCGCCTCCGTCAGCTCCTGCATATCTCTCAAGCACTGGAGATCGATGGCGGCCAACTGGCGCTGGAGATCCCTCACTTGGCTCCTGATGCGCGCGCTTTCCAAAAGCAACAGCGACGGCGAAGCTCTGATTGTCTCTAACCGACTCGGGAACACGTCTCTTGTCACGTGGCTGGCCTGCGCTGTCTTCGACAAGCTGAAGTCCGACCGATTCGCTATCTTCGAACGCAAAACAACGGCTGGTCAGAGACGGGCTTTAAACTTGGGATCAACGCGCGCGCGCGCGCGTATACGGATAGAGACGGGGAGAGCGCGGACGAAAGACTGCGATTTTCGCGGATATATGGTTCTCGGGCGAGCGTCGAGTCGGCACCGGCGCGGGCTGAAGACTAAACTTAGACGCAGCGGTCCAGAATTCGAAAGTAGCCGAAGGTACTCGATCGACTCTCTCTACAGACTCGCGAGCGACTGCCAATCCCGAGCCACTACCAAGCTCCGACCAGCATCCCCGGCCGGGCGCGACCGCTAACGATATTCTGTCTTTTCTTTTTCTTTCGCCGGCTTGAATGCGCGCTACGTATGATTTGGCAGAGATCGGTACCTATAGGTGCACGCGAACGCCAAAACTGTCCAAGTTAATTGCTTGCCAACAGGGGTGCGTTTCCGCCGATATTTTTATTGTCCTCGATCTCGGGTTGTTCGCGCCGCACAGGTGGCAAGCGTTATTAATAAGAGTCGCCGATAAGGAATTTCCGCTTTCTACCGCCGCGGCCCGTGAATTTTCGGACTTTCCGCGCTGGCAGCCGGGACCCTGCGACGCGGAGGTCTTAAATTAACGCGTTCGCTGCCAGCGTTTGTTTCGGTGGCAGTCTTCGCGGCTGCAATGTTTCGTTTCGCTTATTGCGTTCTTCGAACCAATACGAATCAATCGTTTTCTCAGTCTTTTTCCGGATAATCCTCATTTTATTCGAGATGATTTAAGTTTGGAAGTGTTATGAAAATTTTGTTATTGCTCCATGTGTTTTTTAACAGTATTTAAAATTTATAGATAAATTGACGGGCGCTGTAGGTTTAATTGCTGCATATCATTTTGATGCGATACGGATAAAGTTTAAGAAAAGAATCTCGTCTATTATTTAAAAACTTCGTTTATATTAATTCGTTAATCTACGTTGATTCTACATGAAAACACATATGGAAGTAATCCGTTTTTATGCGCGAAATGCGAAATGTTCACCATTGGAAATACGTGATGCTGGTAACTGGTCGCGTTAGTGCATGTTAACAGCGGTTACTGAAAATTGCGTGTACCGAAACCGCGGGGATCTGTCGAAACTTGATGTAACTAATTTTCGGTTTGATTTTAGGTTGTTGTTTCGTTTATTTGTTCGTGGAACTGCGTATAGTACTTAGATTCCAGTGAAGCTATCTTTTTGAATATCGATGTTTTGGCGATAATGAGGTCACTGGTAGTTAGATATCAGCTTGAGATTAGATTTGTTTTGTTATTGAAGTTGAAAGGATTGAAGAGTGTAAAGAAAAATATTTCGAAAGACGTTGTCATTGCGACGTCCAATAAATTTGTCGTCCTATGATCTATTTCGTAATTACTTTATTCCTAAGAAGTTTCTGGCAGGAAGAATAATAAAACGTTCGTTGCATTGAAACAATATTTTCTTTCAACTATGTCAACGGAATAATGTTCATATTTATGAAATTCTCTATAATGTGTTCACTTGATTTGATAGAATAAGGTAAGGGATTGATTAACATTGGAAATTCAAATTTAATTTAATTTCAATTTCTAAGATATTCATAAGCTGGTATTTATCTCGAGTCTCCTTAATGATACTAAATTCATCAGTTTTTATATTTTAAATTTTTCCTGCAATTTTAGAGACATTTTATTGTTGTTGTTAATGTAAATCGCCCTTTATACGTGGTAAAATATTTTTGAATCTAATAGATCTTCCACGGATCGTCAGAGAATGGTTTTCGTTAAAATACGTCACATGAACGAACTAGATTCTATTTTGAGTGCGTTTGCGTGTAGCTTCTGTAAGCGAAAGATTTATTTGGATGTCATACTGACGACGTCAGTTTTATTTAGCAATACAAAACAGAATTGGAAATACCTTCAATGTCATTTGCCTCTTTCCTCCTTGTCTCAAATTCGTTCTGGGCAACCGCAGCCTACTGGGTGCTCACTCTCAAACCAATATTACCTAACAAGTGACTATAAAGACTCATAAATCTTTCGTTATACAAAATTTAATTAATTCGACAATTTTATTCATGTGAATGAAACGAAAAAAATTTGTTAACTACTTTCAACGAATTTCCCTAAAAAATATTCCCACTCAAATTAATTTTGAAAATATACAAAACCTATTACTAAATCTTCATTCTGTTATCATTAACATTCGAAATGATCATCGTCTATTAATTTCTGTATCCGAGAAAAAAAATTGATAAATATTCCAACAAAATAAACAATTAATTCTTTCTACAATTATTCAATTTATTTTTCCTGAATTATTCAAGACAAATAATCCACAACTTATTTACGCTAGTTGATCCCTACCTACGAAACTGCAAACGCTCACCTAATTTCCCATTTTCAAAAATAAATTTCATATCATCAACATCAAGTAAAATCTTATTTTCTGTTGAAAAACACCAACTCATTTTATAGTGTTTAAACATGTTTTTGATTACAGATGATTGATATTTGTAAACAAAAAATTAATTCTTCAATCGTGTAGTCTTGCGAAAGGTTTCTTCCACAGTTCGCGATTAACATCTTCGACTTCAATAATAAACGCGTTTCAGTAACAAAAATTTCTGCGATAACTGACGATCACCTTGCCATCTCCCAGTTAGACCCCATTGACCATGACATCCCCTGGATCTCCAAGCAAAATAGCGGTCGAAAGGCGCCACGACGCGTCTTCGACCGAGGTGCACCCGTCGCTGAGCAGCCACTTCCGCGGTACCAAATTTAGAAACCGAAAAGGTCAGGCAGTCGTCGAGTCGCAGCGGCGCCTAGCAAAATGGGCCGCTCGTGTTTTAGCGCGCGCTCGTTTCATCCCTCTCTCGATCCCCATTAGCGACGAACATCTGAATCCCAGTTTCGAAACAATTCGACGTTTCCAAGACTGTCAAAGCTTGAATCATTCCTACTAGAAGTAACACCTATCTCTAGGCCTGAATAATCTCAGAACGTTGAAAGCCTTGTACTCGATGCAAGTCTCGATATCATTTACAATTGTATACGAGTTTGACATGGATATAACAATCATCGACTCACAAAACTCAAAACACAGCTCGAATTCAAAATTTCCAAGACATAAAGACTTTTTTTAATTAAACTCAGAAACTTTCCGAACATCGAGAGCTTCGAGATCTTCAAAAATTAGAGGTTATCAAATTTTATTCCAAATGATTCGAATTTTTTAACGTGTGCATATTCGAAACGATTCAAGATCTCGATAGTCCATCACTAACCACGCAGTCTTCCGATCTTCGAACTACCCCGCCTCGTTTATTATTTTGATTCGTGTACCTTGAACTGGGACAGATGATCCCTGGCCAGATCTTCCGCGTCGATCGCGTGCTTGATCAACTCGTGCCTACTGTAGGGTTCCACGGGTTTCTCACCCCATAACATCCTGCCGTCGCTCCAGGGTAGGTCCGGCAGTTCCGACCTTCTTTGACGACGGAATTCCGATGGCGGCGTCGTTGATCTTCCATATCTGTCTATGTAGTTAATCATCGGCTGATAGTAGTTGATGCCACATTTGTAATTCGTGTCGTAAATGTAGGTGGGCCAGTGCTTCCATTTTGACTCTAATGGAACGTACAATGGGGGCTGTACACTTGACATTTTTGCACTGTTGCCTGGCGACTCTGATCCTGGAGGATCTTCCTCCTTTGATGGAGAGAGGTTTTCGATTCGATCGGTTTTCTTATAGGGCGATGGCGATTCTGATTCGAGGAGTTACTGACACCGCTGGATCTGTTTTGTTTTGAAGGAATTCTTTGTTTTCTTTCTCAATTTCTTTTTGAGATTCGAATTTGAAACCGTTGCTTCGAAGTATCGTTTCGTATCGTTCTTTCTCGAGTTTCTTCGAGTTCCTTCCGGGTTAATGACACGTTAAACTTGTGTCGGAATCATTGACCGTAAGTCTGTTTATTGTTGTTCGTTGAGTAGTTTTCTCGAAAATGCTACTCCGAGGGGCTGACAATTTTTGTGTCGAGTGTCTGTGTGGGTGTGTTAATTTGTCATCCAACTTTTACCTTGAATAGAAATTATTATATGCTTTCAGACGTCTCGTCGAGGATTGATTTTGCGGGGTCGATCACTGACGTTCGCAACGAAGTATAGGTGTTTGCTCGCGCGGAGAGAGAAGATTGATGTTACTTACTAATTTCTCATAGTCGGATGATCGGAGATGACAGTTGCAATGGAACGGTCACGAAAAATTGGGCCGTCCGAGGGCGGTGGCATCTTTTGTAGCTTTTTGTTACGATTGCCACATTGAGGACGGCCAATCAGCACCTCCCGATAATAATTGGATCGCGGTTGACCGGCTTTGCGTGATTCTTATTAATAGATGCTCCGTATGTTTGTGCGTACCGTCATCGGACTGTATTATTAATGACCCACAATGTTGTAGCGAGTTGAAAGCTTTAAACTCAAAGTTTCAACTCCGCTTGCAAAGTTCATTCTTACTTATTTCTCTTTGCTATGATTTCAAGGATTCATATCTCCATTTAATCATCCATTTCTCCTGTTTCCATAATTATTTAATTATTTAATTAGATGTGTCATATCTGTCACACGTAAATTTTATTTTCACGTGACATCTACATCTTAGTTTCCAATATCTTCTACAAATTATTCCACTAATTGTAAGTTGACAATAACTTTTTTCATTAAACGTAATACGTTCATTATAATACAGATCATCATTTCACAATTCCTTTCACGTATAACTTTCACAGGTTAAAAGGACTTGCATGGCTGATCATAATCTGCTTGTTCCACTTATACTATCGTAAACTTAGATTCTTCATGACTTTTACAACTAATTCAGTCTAGATTATCGATCATCTTGTTCATTATTGAAGAGTAACATAAGTCACCGTTGTTTCATCACGACGTCAATTTTTTCCCTCTGATTCACACTGTGATTCAGAGTGATATAATCGATATATCGACCGATCAGTGTTGCGCAGCGTCGCTGTTTTAAAGATCGGAGCCAAAGAGGAGTCATCGTGCCCGATCGTCACGTCTGCGACCCGATCTTGGCACCGAGCCATCATTGTATATGCCGCGAATATAAATAAATAATTAGACCGCGACAGGATATTCCCTTGAACGTCTGATAGGTCGGAAAAGACCCGCGGTGATTAATCGATCGGATCGATCGACAAAATTAAACATGTTTTATTATTAGGCCGGCGGAACGCACGGTGGTTGTACCGGAAATAAAACTGATTGCATCATTGATCGCGAGCAACTAAAAATTCGTACTGTTTGCATCGATGATACTTGCCATCCCTTTTCCAATATTAATATTTTATTAAAATATACCTAATCACTATATTAAAATATTAATCTCTTAACATTAACCTTCTGATATTAATGTTTTAATATTCTAATATAATGTTTTAGTATCTTAATATTTTCAATTAAGTAATGAAAGTTATTTTAATGGAATAATTTAGAATATAGACCAGTACTCACCGGATGATTTCAATTTCTTCGTCCTTCTCGGTGAGACGGCGCTCGTAATCATGGCGGAGTTGGGTCAATTCGGCGGCCAATTTCTGCGCACGCTGTTCCTCAATCTTGCGACCCTGAATTTGAAATATTTCATTAAGTTTTATTCAATATTCGTTATCGTTCAACTTTTCGCAACTACAAACTTTTCCTTTGCGGTTTCGATTTTAATTACTGAAAGTTTTTGTTTCATTTGTTAGCATTGAATATTCTAGGCAATGAAAATATTAATGATGTTTATGTAATGTATTGGAAATTTTTTTTAATCTGCTAGCATTACTGGCAACATAATTTTCACTTACAGCTTCGGCTTCTTTGTAGGCGGCAGCAAGCTCTTCGCGTTCGTTCTCCAAACGACGAAGTTCAAGCTCCAGCTCGTGAAGTCTGCGGTTCATGTCAGCAAGTTGGTTCTTGGCATCGCTGAGGTCGTCTGAAGCGATCGATTAATCGATTACGAATCTGGTTTTATATTTGCCGATCATTCAATCAAAAATTTTTACTTGACAGTGTCTAATTAATAAACCTATTTATTCTCATTATATATAATTATACTGATTACCGTTCTTCGAAATTCCAAAGTATATGTATCCTGCACTTTAGATGAAGAAATTTTTGCTTCATAATTTTTAACGTTCAAATATCACAAATAATGTTCAATTTAAAAGTTCTTACTATTTTTAAAGTAAACAAGTTAGTAACTTCGTTACTGGATTGTTATATAAACTTAATTTTTTATTCTATAGATTTTTGAAATTCTATTATGGTAACTGTCTTAATTTTTGTCAAAAATAATTATGAACCTCAAAAATATAAAATTCTAAAGCCTCATTATTACATTGGCAATTGAAAAAAAAGATTTTAAATTTGAATTTCTTTAATCCCTCTAAGCGTAAAATTACGATGAAAACACGGACCAATAAAAAAGTTTATTTCATCATAATTACCTCCCAGTTTTTTGTTCTCACGTGCCAGTTGATCCTTCAGTTCGCGAGTCTTGTCGAGTTCAGCATTGGTGCGCTGGAGTTCCTGTTGCTTGTTGCGGAGGTCGCGTTGGCTTTGTTCGTACATCGCCATGCTCTCGTCCAAACGTGCTTTCATTTCAACATTGATCTTCTCTAACTGTTCGACGCGCTTCTGGAGCTCGCGAGCTGTTCCGTTAGCCTAAAGACATTTATTTAATTATTGAAACTATTCCAATGAATCGTGTAATTTAGTTAGAAATTGTATTCCGTCATATATCCCTAATAACATGATTTCTAGTGACATTATCAAAACTGTTCATACCTTTTAGACATTTATTGAATTTATTGAATCTATTGAATTTATAGAATTTATAGAATTTATAGAATTTATAGAATTTATGGAATTTATAAAACTGATAAAGTTTGTAAAATTGATAAAATATATAACATTTATGAAATTAATAGTCCCACCTTTTCTAAGTCAATGATCAAAACTTCCACTTCAGATTGCAGACGAGACTTTTGTTTCTCAAGATTGTTGATCTTAACCAGCAAAGTTTCAATCTGTTCTTCCTGTTCCTGGATGCGAGCACTGTATTTGCGGCGCAGTTCCTCTACCTGAAAGATAAAATAAAATTATTAATTTTCATATCGCTTGAAATTCATTAATTTTGTTTATATTTTAGGATAATTGCGTGGAAGGAAGAATAGAACATGAGAGTGAAAAAATGAATATTAATTTTCTTGAGTGTTAGAAATAATGTTTAAATGATTACACTTAGATTCCGATAGTTACCTCTTCGGCGCGAGCATTGGCTTCGGTTTCGTATTTCGATCTCCATACTTGAACTTCTCCGGTGGCCTTGACCAATTGACGTTCAATGTCCAAACGAGCTTCAGATTCTTCTTCCAATTGTATGCGCACAGATTCCAATTCCGTTTCGACCTGCCGACAATTTCACGTAGATTATTAACTACTTGTGAGAATTAATTTTCTCAATACTATTTTACATTTTGTAAACGGTACCACAGAGCTGAATTATTGATCAGATCTTAACAGTAATTAATTATTTTTGAACCAATTAAATGAAACGTACCTGATGCAAGGAGGCTTCAACCAATGAACGACGACGTTCTTCATCCTCAAGACGACGACGAGCATCCTCGAGCTGACCAGCGATCTGAGTTCTCAGGTAAACAACATTCTCGATGTTCACCTACATTTGTAAATAATCGACAATAAATAAATCAACATAAATATTCAATTTTACAGTACAAAATAAGAATTTTTATCCTTCTCCGTTACGAAAAACTTTTTGTATATTTTAAACTCATTGTAAAATAAACAAAATAAAAATTTACTTTGTGAAGCAAAAATTATTTTATTGTGCATGATACTTATTTTATAGTAAAAATTACAAATTTGCTTGGAATTATTTTATGTGTAGAATAAAATTGTATTATTAATAATAGTAATATAGAGAAAATATTACCTTCAAATCCTGAACTTCCTTGGTCAGTTCAATATTTTCCTGGGAAAGCCGGGTCTTATGACTGGTGATGTCTACGATGGTGCGGTTCAATTCTTCGATTTTCACATTGAGCTCGGCTACATGGATCTCGAGCTTCTCCACTGTCTTTATGGACATCAACTTTTCTTTGGTAACATTGTCCAGTTGAGCGAGCAGTTCGTATACCTCTTGTTGGAATTTCGATTTCTCTTTGTCGGCCCTGGAAGATTGAACAATTACGCGTTAAAACAATCAGTCTTCCTATTATTCCGAACAAAACTTCCTCTTTCTTTTTCTCTCTCTTATTCCTACATAAATTTACTTTAACATAAATCGAGAACACAGTTGCTGTATTTAATACACATGCGTCTCACTTTTCTGGCAGCGTTCAAATTCATTTTTCCAAAAGTCATTTATAATCTCAAATACGAAAGATTCTATAATTCAAGATGAACAATTATATATCCAGAATACAATGAAAAGGAAAAACACAATATAATCGATAATAAAACACATTGAAATCAATAAACGCGAGCACTATTCGTTTCATTTCAATCTGAACATCATTTTCAGCTTCTGAATGCATAAACTTCGTACTAAATTTACTTTTACAATAAATATGTAATTACTTTTCGACGAATCTAAAATCAAGAATTCAATTTGTCTCCATTTATTTCCCAGACAACTTCGAGAACCGAAATTCCTTTTTCTAAATTTATTCCCTTTCATGAATCAATACCCAATATTCTTCTCATAAAATCAATGATTCTCCTGCAGGACATTGAAAATAATATAAAGTAGCGTCATAGAGGTAGTTCGCGTATCAAGACTCGACCTGTCGCGATTATCTGCCGAGTGTCTCGTTAAAGAGGATCGTGGGGGCGGTGGGAGGGGAGGAAATCGAGTCCTCACGGTATCGTCCACCTACACGTAACAGAGGGTGTAAGGTGTCGGCCGATTCCGGGGATAGTGGGGATCCGGGCCGGTCGCCTGTACTAATATGGCGCGGTAACACGGGGTTGAGGATTGCCGCGCGACTCGCACGGTTAAAAATAGTCATAAGCCGAGCAGCGGCGAGCGAGGAAAACGGCACGCGGAGGGAGAGACCGAGAGAATAAAAACGGGAGAGACCGAGAGCGAGACAGAGACCGATAGAGGGGGCAAAACAGCCGTAGAGGGGGAGAGGGTGGGAATATGTCCCGAGAGAAAAAGAGAATTCGAACAGGAAAGCCGCGAAAGTTCGGAAACGGGGTCGAGGAGAAAGACGAACGGACGCTGGGAATGCGAGAATGGGAATGCGGGTACCCTACATTTTTTTTCGTGCGAAAAAACATACCCCCTGGATTTCGGAAACGAAAAGAATCGAAGAATCTAAAAATAGGATTCTTTTAACGATTGTTTTCTTGATGGATGGTTTATGATCTTCGGAGAATTTGAAAATACTTGTGAGATACTTTTTATTGATAATAGGATAAAACTGATGATATTAATAAGAAGGGGATGAATCAGTTATGTGTTATTGGGAAGAGAGATGTAATAATATGTGGAACAGGTGTATTAAAGCTGGGAAAGAGGGTGAATTTTTGGATGACGATTGTCGGTCGGGATGAAGACCTTTTGAACTGATGAGGAGAGAAATTCGGCGAACGTTTGAGAACTAGTTGACTGTGAAGTAAAGCGTATAAAGGAATGAAGAAAGTAGAAAAAGAATGGAACGGTGCAACATAAAATAGGTGCGAATAATAGGGAAGTTAGAAGAAGGAGTACAACGAAGGTAGCGATGAAAGCAACTTAAACGGCGGGGCGAGTCTATTTTTAAAGCGTTTAAAACACCCTTCCCGAGCCAACAGGTGGAAACTTTTTCCGTTCGGCTGCGAAATCTTTAAATCTCAGTTGTGCTGTCCCGGCGGTTTCTTTCGGCGAATGTGATTCAAAAGAAAAGAAAACGCGGAAGAATAGCCGCGTTCTGGATACCGTCCCAGTTCACCGTAGCACACCTTCCATTTATTATTTCCGGCCGCCATTATGGCGCTCGGACCATTCTATTTTGCCGGTTGAAATATTAAGAGGCAATTAGCTGTTACACCGTCGCGACGCCGTTGACGCATAAATGTCGTAATTGCTTCCACTGAAAGGTCCACTTACAGCGGAATCCCTTGGGATCCGATTTTAGCATATATGCCAAGGCATTATTGACACGCTGTAGGAAGCGAAAGAAAATAATCGAAAGAAAACGTAAACTTTCAAGCTTTTAGCAGTGTTATTAACGCAAATTTGTAAGACTGTTCTCAGAAACAGTGTAATAAATCTTGAAAGAAGGAAATTCAGAGCGTGGCTTCAATAAAGAAACTAGAATGGCCAAGAATGGTCAAAATGGCAATCGCGCGGAGCCTCTAATCAATTTGTTCAATCTACAAAAAGATTCAACCACCCTTCTATACTTCGAGCGTGTAATATTAAAATTAATGAATTAGTTCATTGAATTTAAAATTAACAAAAATCTTTTTAAGCATAATATTATAATTAAAATTTTAAAAGACAATATAAATATATCATAACTTGTTAAATATGTTTAATATTCCTTCGAATCAAGGAATAAACGAGTAAAAACAATCTGAAACATCGATTATACCAAAACGGAGTTCAACAAATTCCCGAGAGTCTAAGAAACTGTTTCACTATTGTTTTAGATTAATGGGAAAGGGACTGCGCAAGAATTTTCCGTGAGAGAAGCGAGACGTATTACTACGAGCAGATAATGGACAGCCTCTCGATGACAGCTGGGTGAATTTTCGAAATGGATGCGTCCTTGTAGCGCGACGCCGCGCGTCGGGGCGCCGGGACGTCGAAAAGGACGCGGGTTATGTTTAGAAGAGCCGAGGAAACGAGTCGGACGCGTATTTCAGGTGCGAGTAAGTTGGTTGCTTGGCCAGCGGCCAGCATCGTCGAGCATAATTCCCGCAATTTTCGAATACGCTTTCGTTAGCCCGCGAGAATACCCACTATAATTAACGGCGCGACGCGACGTGATTCACCCCCGTTCAACCCCCGTGGCTTCCGAGCATCGCCGTGGCGACTTTTTCCCTCTGCCGAGCGAGAGCGGACGAAACTCTCGTTCGCGTTCCGGCGCACCTTTAAACTTCCGGCGAAATGTTTATTGACGTTTGCGCGCTTTGACCTCAAAGACGCGGGACGAAGCGGCGGGGATGGGAAGCAATAGCGTCAGCCGGAGGATACCGAGGCCGCGATTTTATTTTCACAGGTGTACATAATTAACCGCGGTTTATTGGTGTTCCGATTTTCGTTTGTTCGCTAACGGGGATTTCGTACTAGATCTGGGCCGTGTTTGGATTCACTTCCGACAGCGTGTTATCGCGTTCTGCTTTGATACTCGAATTTAATATCACTCGGAGGAGATCCGTGCGCAGACCGTTGCGTGGCTTCGCGTTTGAACCGGTCCGCGCGGAAAATAGACCGGTAAAAATAGCGAAACTCCGGAAAGGGAAATTTTGGTCGAGCGTCTAATCTTCGTTGGGTTTGGGCAGAGGTTCTGAGAGTGTACGATTCATTTCCCGCATCTCGGTGTAATTAACGGTTTTCTGGATTGAGAGCGGAATATGACGTCGAGGGTGATTATAGAAGAGTTTTCTCTTCGGTTTAGCGTGATGTTCTTGAAAGAACGTTTCTTTACTTACTTTTCTCCCGGAGATTGACGCGTGCACAGAAATGTAGTAAATGTGAGCGTAGAATACTGATCGGTGTACGATATCGATCTACTAACCTGGCACGTGCTTTCGAAAGTTGATCGATTTGATCCTGGAAATCGACAACGACTTCCTGGTGCTTCTTGCGCAGAAGGTGTGCGGTCTCCTCGCTTTCGAGATGAACATCTTCGAGTAATTTGCGCAGCTTCGCCAGTTCCGTGTCTCTTTTCTTGTTAATCTCAAACTACAGGGTTTCAATGATCGATAATTAGATAAACTATGCGACAAACAAATTAACTTTTATTCTTCGTTTCGATAATATGACGTATTGTTCGAGGATTACCTGAGATTCAGCGCCACCCTCGGCCTCTTCGAGACGTTCGGACAGCTGGATGACTTGCACGCTTAAGTCAGCGCGCTCGCGTTCGATCTGCAATAGCACGTACGAGGAAAGAATTAGTATCATACGATAGAATATTAAAAAAAAGGACAAATCAAAATTAATCAATTAGCCAGAAGAAAAACTGATAATAACTACCTCGACGAAACCATTATACTGATTGTAAATGATTTACGTGTGATTACTAACATTATAATACAGAACAACGAAAGAATTATATAAAATAAATTATATACAAGAAAGAACCTTATAATATCATTTAATCTTTACGTCCAAACACATTCTCTACAACTCAATTCTTCCAACTGTCATTCGTATTGATATTCAACGTAGAATAATCGGAGTGCCTTGTTCTCAAGAAAAAATAGTATTCCTTCAGTGTAAATAATGATAAATCTGCTTATATTGTTTCCCGTCTCATTCAGTATGTAACAGAATGTTTGCTTCGTCGATTAATGGTCAGTTTATTTGGTTCTAAGTGCGCTCGCAGAACGAAGTCATTGTGGTGCGAGAGTATAGCACAGTCGGAACATGTTGATGCGTGTCGAGTGTAATCGAGATGCGCCGCATTGTTTTGGAAAGAGGCCTCGAGGAACGACGCGGACGGCTCGGTGCAAGCTTGACGTCAGGTTTCTTCGGACCGCGAATAGAACGATCTAATTCCGGACGAACCGGCTCTATATCGGGAGCTTTATTCATATTACAAACGAGGCGTTTATCGGGAAAAGAGAAACGCACGACATCGCCATAACTGTCCCTCCACCGGAGACCACCGTGTTCTCCGTGTCCCCCTGTATTTACTGACCCCGGTCATCCAGTTCGTCCAAACCTCTGTCACCCTTATAAATCACAAATTTCGAAAATCCAAATTAATCAAAACCCTGTGTCGACGCCGAAAGTAAAACCACCCTAATCGTTAGAATGTTTTACAATGACTGGCGGCCATTTTGTAAACCCGAGTTCAGAAAGTGAGGTTATGTTTCCAGAATTACTCGAAAAACGTATTTCTTAATGTCGAAAGATGGATTTTAAAATGATATATACATTCGTCTCAGTTTTCTGTCATTTTTCGTTCCGGATTCTATGTGTTCGTCGTGTAGTTGTATCTCTTGCGAAGAGAAAATGTTGCGAACAGGAACGTAAAGTCCGCCAGCAGACATTTTAAATGTAATGTGTATGGACGTAAACCTTAGATGATCACGCAAAGATTCAAAATCGACTGATTAATGTACACTCAAAAAACGAAAGGGGATTGTTAGTAAAACTATAGAAATTGAATTGTCGTTTAGAAATTCAATCGAGGTACCAGCTAAACGAGAAGCAGAATTTATAAACGGAGAAATTCGTGGCTCTCCGAAAAGGAGCAATTCGCGAAATTACGTAATGCGTACTTGGATCTATTCCGCGTATACTTTGTATAACAAAGACGGGAGGGATTATTTATTCTGTACCGTGCATGTAAAGCGATCATAATTTCCAGCTTTTTGCGACTCAGAAGAACGTCGCTGGCAGCCGTTCAAGTCACGTATCCGGACGAGCGTTACGTATGAATCTGATTTCAGTGGGACTTTAAGGAACAATGAAACTGGAGGAGCTCCTCGGAAACTTAACCCACCGTTTACGTGACATTCCCTGGCCCCTGGAATTTATTTATACCCATCCGAACTGCGGGAACCGAAGGTGCCTCCGAAGACTCCCAAATTTTTCCAATCGCGCGCGAAGTGGAGCGTCGTTACGCTTAAAAATTCGCATTTCCGTTGACCGAAGCAAACGGTTCCTCTAAAGAAACCGTTGTTTCCGATCGCTGCGCGTTGCGTGTACGCCGAACACGAAAAAGGAATGCGGGTTCGTCCGCTGACGAGGTGCGCATCCCCAAAAATAGACGCGAGTCGTGAGCTGGACATTTCGACCTACTGCTCCCCACTCTATGGTGGAGCGGGCCACTCTCGCTTTTTTCGTATCAGCCTCAAAATTCACAATACCGGCATTACATAAAGTCTTCGAGTTGACGTTTATCGCCGCGTCCCCGATATTTTCGTCTCCCGCCCCTAAAACCGCGTCCCGATCTCAAACCTTCCGTCTCCGATGCTCCAGCGGACGCAAGAAAGTCCACTCGGAACTTCTCCGTAAATAATTCTCCGTGAAAAACTCGAATTGCTAGAAAAGCGACGGGAAAACGGTTTCTAAGAACGCCTTGCGTGTTTTTGGAGGGAATGAGGGACACGGGGTGAGAAAAGCGGCGCACGCTGGACTCACCCTCTGACGCAGCTCTCTCTCAGACTCCAGGTCATCCTGCAGCAGGCGGATTTTGTCCTGAAACGAGAGGCATGTGAAAGGATTAGAGCGTGCCGCGGGTCTCGTCGCGGCGGGTCGGTGGTTTACGTAATCGGCCGACGAAAATATCCAACAGCGGACGGCCGGTATTCCCGAAAGACGGGCACGGACCTCGCAACGGGCCCGTCCTCAAGGGAACAGAAGCGCGTTCGCCCTCGGCGACCGTACATTGGGGTCGTTTCTCAACGGGAACGAGGTAACGTGCACTCGTTTTCGTCCATCCGTCCGCCTTTCTTGACGGGCTAGCGCACGGGAAGGGCGGTTTCACGCGCCCTGTCCCGTGATCAACGAAAAAGGACAATCTTACTTGGATGCCGGCTCGAATGCACGTTCCCTCGGGGTCCACCGTTTTTCTCGGAAGCGAAAGGAGAAGCTATCGACGGTACCGGGCAGGTTTCTCTGTCTCTTTCTCTCTCTCTATCTTTCTCTCTTTCTCTCTCTCTCTCTTTCTCGTGCGCGGCGTTTTCGCGATCGTCTCGAAGATGTCACTCCGGTGTCTGTGCCCCCGGCACGAATCCGTGTCTCGTTCTCGGGGACCGATATTCACGACTATTTTCGTACACGAGCAATCCGATAGCCACGGAACCGTCTTAGGCACTTTCCTCCTCGGGGTTTTGGCACTAATATCCCTTATGGTCACTGAACTTTCTCCCGTTGCACTGTCCCCACCGCGAAATCGGTCACTGCTCTGCGTACCCCCGGGTTCACCAGAGATAATCACTAATTGCCCTCGCCCGCTTCTTGTCCAACCGACCGACCCGGACGGAGCTGAGAGGTTTCACTGCTATTCAAAATGGCGTTTCGCGGGTTTAGTCGTCTTGATCGTGGTGTTTCGTTCTTCCTCTTCGTCTTTGATCCTCTTCTCCGTCGACCGTGTTATTAGTCTCGATCGTGCGTTAATCTTGATTTTATCGGAAACTGATTACGTGAATGTTCTGATCCTAGTGGTCGAAGGTCTACTTTCGTGAGACATTTTGGCTTCACCTTATCGGTCTAAGTACCCTAGGTATCCTAAGGTATTTCGATCTTCCTTCCTCGGATCAATTTCTAGTCGAGCGTAATGTTTCACAAATTTCGCTCGCAACCTCTTGTTCCCTTTTCCTTTTCGATTAGCTTAAGAAAGAGTTTCGCGGTGTGCTACACGAATTTTACGCGAAAACTCGGGGACTCGATCACAGTAATGCTTCGTCACCTTAACCAATGTTAGCAAGGAAGGCCTAAAATGTAATCGTTAACAGAGACCCAACCCAGACCCCATTCCAAAAGTACTCGATAGCGTCAAAAGCAAAAGTTCCTCGGTCGATACTAAGAAAATTCCATTGCAAAGATTCAATAGCTACATGCAACGAAGCAGTACCGTGGATCCAGGTTTATTATCAAAACGATAGTGATCGATGTAAGAGTACGATCCGAATTTTTCGGGGGTTGAGAAACCTACCTCCAGCCTAGAGAGAGCGCTCAGGTCAGCGCTGTATTCGATGCTAACGTTAGCGGTACCTTCGCCGGTGGAGCGGTACGTGTATTTGGAAGCTTTAGCGATCGCTGAAGACATCCTGTCCGCTTAGGTTCACTTGCGTTCACTCGACGAACCTTTGTTCCGTCCCTCTCAGCCGAGATTCCTGCCTCCCTCGGTTATTATTCGGTGAAACCTACGGTTTTCGCCCCTCGATGCACTGGCCGGTGCTAAGTTAAGTCGTCTTGATTTAAATCGTCGTAGTCGGGCTACCACTTCCTCTCCACCACCTTCTTGTTCTCTTCTCTTCCTCTTCACCTTTGTCCTCCTCTTCGTCTTCTTCTTCTTCTTCTTCCTTCTGTTCTTCGAGGTTTCGGAGCCGACCAGCGCCCTACTCGTAGTGCGCGACCCGTCGTCGTTCGTATGGCGCGCCGGCCGCTCCATGGCATCGTCAAAATGACGGTTACGCGCGTGCGCGCTAGATCCGAACCCCCCACCAGGAACACGCGGCGGCGACTCGTCATCCACCGTTGTTCGTCGTCCTCTCCTCTACCGTCGACGGGAACCACCAGCCGAGCGACCACCGATGCTGCGAGGACGCCCACGTTTCCTGAACGCACCTGCCACCTTCCTTGAACCGTTCCGTGGCTAATCCCGTTAACCCCTTCTTCTGTAATGTTGAATCGTAGATCTTCTGGCGATACCGATAAATAGAAGTAATAGATTTTCATGCTTTCGCACGGCACGGGCAACTCTTGGGTAACACGGTGATCGAGTTGCATGGTGTCTTGAATAACATATGTTGCAATAACTGGATTACTAAGGCATTCGTGACCGAATATAATTTCCCAAAGTCTACAGCTCAACACTGCAAGGGTCTGCGATTCAAATCAGTACAGAAAGTGTTTGATACAACTATGTAGTCGATGTTTAACTACAGATTGTGAAATGATTTACGGTTATGTTATTGGTCTCCAATAAGTTAGCTACATTATACGAAACGTCAATTCCATGGTTCCTTTCATATGTGGATCTGGAGTATCTAAGAACACGGTTTCAAATGACACGAACGAATTAACCGTGGTGATCGAGGGTTGACTGTACAAAATTTCGAGAAACAATTATATTCTGATCGAAAGGAAGTAGCCTTGAATGTTTAACAATATATTTTTATTCATTTCTCTGCGCGCTTACGTGGATTCCTGTTTATAAAATACAAATTTTAAAGCGTAGTAGAAATAAATCTGCCGCATTCATGTAGTTCAAAGTTCACAGTTATAATAGGGAGTACAATAATTGTTATACCTTTTATTTCCTACATACCAAGTAGAATTATTTTTGTAACTGAATCAGTATACGGCCCGACGGCGAATAATGTTTACCCATTACTGTGCGTATTGAAAATAGAATTCGACTTTAATCCTTTGATATAAGATCCATATTCCCGCCCACGCGGTCAAAAGAAAATATTCGCATTTCTCTTTCCAAAAAGATGGTATTTTCAAGAGTCTGGGACTTTTGGAGGTTAAAACTTTACCTATTTTTACTTGTCACTTTACTCGTGTGATCTTGTTGGATAACTGTTACATTACACAACTGGTGTGCGATTAGTTTCGAATAGGTTAACAGACATCCGGTAGAAACGTTAACCCTTTGCATTCGACTTAATCTAGCAAAATTATGATTCTCTTAATAAATAATATTATAACGCATTGATATATGAAACATTGAAGTAAAACAGCTTCGTCCCTTAATCACCGTATGATTTCTAATGAAGTTAGTTTCGAAAGACGTCATCTGTATTTCACCCAAAACTGTTGAATATTTCTAGTAAAATGTTTTCGAATGCGAGCGGTTAAGATTCACGGGTCGGAAGCGCACGAACGTTGCGCGGCTCAACAGGTGTACGGGTCACGATCAAAAATCGATTCACCCTCGGGATTGTCCGAGCGTTACTTCGCCAATTAGAATTAGAATTAGCCCTGGCGTCCCACGCCTCTCGCCGTGGAATTATTCGTCCAAGACTCGGCCGTGCAACTGCGCCGCTCTTCGTACCGATTTAGATATAACGTACTTGAAAAGCTACAGGGTCATCACTTCGCATAGATCGGCCATCGATCAGAGGAGTCGTTGACTCACCCGGGCGCCGATCACCGGGCGTAACTTTAAAAAGTGTAACAATCCCGGACATCGGCGGCCCGGTGTCATATCGTAGCCAAAATCGTTTTTAGAACCGCCGAATCATCCGCGGTTATTTTCGGACGTGGACTCGCCGGGTGGGGTGTATGATTTATTACTCGTACAGGATAATGCATAATTACACGTCCGCACTAAGGGAGAAACGATCCGCTCCGCAAAGCGAAATGGGCATGTGTTTTCGTGTAATTTGATTTACGATCCACGAAAGGTATTTAAAAAAAAAAATTAAGTAGAATGGGAAAAGAGGATTTAGTTGATAAAAAATAATGGAAGAAGTATTTTGAAAAATAAGTATGTAACGTTAATGACAATGTAGAAGGTTCTAAGTTGATAACATATTAAATGGGTTTCTTAGTTTTTTCGGTGCAGACAATTCGGCTATAGAAGATCAATGTATATAGAAACGCATTTTAACATTTCGAATGATGGCGAACATATTTTTGAAAGATACGTAGATATCTTCTACCACATGTAACAACACGATCTCATCTAAAAGAGGTTGACCGATGACTCAACAGGTGATGGGGAATTTCTCGTGAAAAATCGTCCCCTACAATTCGGATTCTCGGAATTTGTCGCGAATTCTCGCTGTTCTCGCAGCTGCTGTGGAAAGTCTGCGGGCCTTTCGGTATTTACACACGGTGTAGTTGTTGACTAATCGGTAACTGCCGGGAATGCCGGGCGTGTTTCCATCAGAGTTGTCGTTGTTTTGATATTCTCGTACAACAATGCTTTGTATTATATTTAAAGCTATTTACTGTGTCACTGAATCCTGTCTTATAAAAATAAGAGACAGGTTTCCAATTAGTATCATCTCTGTTGAATGCTCAGTATTTCAAAAAAGGAACTGAAATATTGGACATTGAAGGAAATCTATTTTTATAAGTATTTAATTAATTAATTAATTAAACATTTAATCTTCCGTGAAAGCTTGTTTGCGTAATTTTCCATTGAACATGCAAGATGTAATCCTTTATCCTTTCCCTTAATTAGTCTCCATTCCACTGTTTCCGGAATAGTTCCGATTACGCTATCGTTTACTCTTACCACTGGCCGGCCAGTCTGAAAGCAGGACTCTCATTCTACCAGCATATCGCCCCACTCCCACCGCCATGAATTCCACCAGTATTTATATCCCGTAATACATTTTTCTTTATCCGAAACAGCGAGACTCGGCCGGCCGGTATCCACTATGAAAATTCCCCGAATTCGCCGCTCGATTCCCACCTACGGGAACGATGTTCTTCTTCGAACATTCACGAGGACGCTGTATTAGGGTGCGTTTGTAATGGAGTTGCCGAAAGCTGCTACAGCTGAAGAAGAATTATTATCCTCAAGTTACGCGAGTTGAAATGTCACGAAAACGATACGTTGCAAACGTAAATGTTATGCATTGTATTATTCGTGTTTGCCATTGTCAAACATAATGATTACTCAACGTAATAATTATAAAACGTAGTGAGTACTATACGTAATAATTATCAAACGTAGTGAGTACTATACGTAATAATTATAAAACGTAGTGACTACTAAACGTAATAATTATCAAACGTAGTGAGTACTATACGTAATAATTATAAAACGTAGTGAGTATTAAACGTAATAATTACTGAATATAATGATTACTAAACATAATAATTAACAAACTTAATGGTTACTAAACATAAGAATTACTAACCTAATAATTCCTAAACGTAATAATCACTAAGCATAGTAATTACTGCATAACTTCACACGTCGTCCAACATAATCGCTTCAATTGCAAAACAAAATCATATTCCTGCGCTTCGCCTTTATCGCCGTTCTGATTGGACGCCGCAGTTCCACTGCAAACGTACCCTTAGGGGGCAGAAGGTGTGATGCCGGGCACGGGTCGGCGCAGATTTTCCTAAAACCTCCAGTTTTCACAAAATTTCTACGACCACCCACCCCGCCCCACTCCCGTCGAGTGTCTATAAAAGGTCGCCGGGCGATGGTGGGCAAAGATGCTCGGTCGGCCTAGCCCGGAGCTCACCAAGTAATTTGAGATTGGCCCCTTCTCTTCGGCGTCCTCTTCATCACCTTGCTCCCACTCCGGCGCGGCCGTGCGCGTGGCTCCATCTGGTGGAGAATTCCAGGCATCGGAAAGCACATAGGAAGACCTCAGACCAGAATAACTGGCTCTTTCTCTCTTTTTCCCCACCAACAGAGAAGCCGCTCCGCCAGCATCACCCTCAAAGCGTTCCGAGACCGGCAAGGTGTATACCTATGCGGGGACCCGTGCCCACAGACTTCCTTGTATCCGCGTTTCCAATTCGCGACGGAACGTTTAGGCCAAACACATACAACCGATCTGCGACAATGTTGCAAAATGTCATGTCACGTATGACGATGTGACAGAAAAGAATAAAAGAACCTCTATCCCTCCAAAACAATCTCAGCTGCGACATTTTGTCGCGAACCGCTCACGTGCATTTGGCCTTAGACAGGCATTGGACTGCGATACGAGACACCCTGTCGCCACAGCATTCTGTTTACAGGGTGCGAAAGCTTAAAAGGATGGTTCAGGCTTCACCGAGGGGACACGTTTTCCACCGACGAACCGCTTGATTTTGAACTATTTGCTGGCCGACTGCGTGGAGAGCTATTTTTACTGCGTCTAAATATCGCTTTCAACTTTCAGCTGATTGTTTTATGTACACGACAGAATGGAGAAACGATCTGCGGGAGATATTTTTGCGATTTCTGACGTTCCTTCGATAAAATCAGAATTTATCGTGTTTCCAAAGATGGAGGCTTAGCAAGGAAGTAATTGTATAGTTTAATGTAATGAAGAATGTCGAGGAAGCTGATAAAAGTGTTATTTAGAAGCTGATGAGAAGGGTTCGAGTTTCAAGTCAACGCTCTTATAAACTCTTTTGACTCCGCGCCACGGGGCCAACAACTACGTAAACGAGTTTTCGAAAATTGTTCGGAGAAACGAAATATCTTTAGATTGGTTCATCCGCTAATATGTGTCAGGCCATTTTTTTTGGCTGCAGCTGGATAAGTCCGCGGAGATTAATTTGGTGCTCTGATCGCGATTCGGTTACGCGGCGATAGTTATTTTGTTGCAGGAACGAGACGCAGTCGCGTGTTAAGGGACCGGTGGCGATTTCCTGTGAGAGAAGGTATCGATAACACGAAGAAGCGTTCTTCGGGATCGCGTAAAAAGACCTATAACGATCCCGGAGTCGCCGAGTAAGCACACTGCCCCAATTTTCTAAATATATCCCCCTTCTGACTCTCTCATTCGACTGAATTCTCGCAGGTACTGCGCATCAAAAGATCTTGACTTCTCGATCATGAGTTTAATGTTTGTAAACAGTGCCGCTCTATCGGTCAAGCCGCGGAAGCTTGACCCTCCGCATGCGATCGTGTGGTATCGATGTCTCGGGGAACGAAAAATGGCGTCTTCCATTCAAAAGTAACGATTTAATTGTTTGATGGAAATCGGTGAAACGAATCAGACAGTAAACGGTGAGAAACAGACATTCGTCATTTTATTTGTTAATTGAACACTTACAATTAGCGAGTATCCCAATTTAGAATCAATGAAATTCTATTTCTAAATGTCTTCGAGCTGTGGTCACGCCAGATGATTCCATGCTTCGAAATATCTTTTTTTAATGTTATGTCTTGTTTATCTCATCAATGATTTTACTGTACTTCTCACAATAGCTCGAACAATTTTACATATTTGTAAAATTTTATTTTGAAAATTAAAGCCTTCTTCGCAGGTTTGAAGACTCCACTGCGATATCACACGTAACGATCTCTTCAAATTTAGCAGGATTGAAATCCGACAACCGAAATTCAGGATACGATCACTATCATTACAGAGTGAAGGTAACGTAGATGTCCTCCAACATCCGAATCATCCGATTAATTACGATCAATACTGTATGATCAGGTCATACCCATTGCTACTCTAAAATTATGCCGGTCGATCGAGTCAGGAAGAAGGCAACAGGTGGATCCTAGAACGGTCGCTAGAAATCTGTTACTAATGATCGGACAGCTGGAGTCGAGACCGAGAGTTTTGAATTACCTCCTCGGTCGATTTATTTAAAGAGTGGATCGGTTCCGCGGGTTTCGAGCCCGCGTCGCTCATCCGTGGGGGTTACAGGGTATCGACGTGCGGAATTTAGGTCGCCGGTGATCATTAACTTGCACCGTTCCGGGCACAATACAATCACCGAGAATACCCTGTCGACCATAAACAATGGGATCTGGCCTGAATCAAACGATATAAATCGGGATTGCGTTGGGAGTGGACACGCAACCGTAATACCCGGCTCGCGCGTTCCTGTACAACGAGGATCGGTCGCACGTGCCAAGGAAAAATTCTGTAAGCTTGCACGAAATCGGGGAAACTTGAAACGCGATCGTTACATCGTCACTCTGCACCATCGTCGTCTTATCGAATTTATTGTCGTTCTATTTTCTCATCGGTTATTTTAAATGATCTGGATTCTTCGTGGGAGAAACTTCATTCCTCTCCGTCGAGAAACTAGAATGGCTGTTGTCACCGCTTCTCCAGATTTCCTCCGGCCTTTCGATTCGTTTCAGACAATTTTCAAGCAAACATAATATTGTTCTCAATCGTTTGTTATATGCCCTATAGGAAATATTTGCGGGTAATGATTCGAGGTGGAAAGAATTCGGAATTTGGCAATCGGCGCTAACGTTTGACTAATAAAGGTAACGCCGATGAGTAATATCGGTATCAAAGAATCGGATTTGAAAATGTGGAACGCGCAAGGAGCAACCGATAGGCGCGCAAAAGCGACTTCTGTCTGCTGAATGTTGAGTCACTGTCCGAAATCGCCCGGAAAGATCTTTGGCTAAAGCTTTTCAGCGTTGCAGAGAGAAACTCAAGATGACTAATCCGCTCTATTCCTGTCCGAACGATATACACTTGTATCCAATGGGAAAGTGGGCTAAAACGTATGAAATATCAATCCCTCCTCAGTCACGCGTTGAACTCTCCGCGACGAGTTCTTAATTTTCAGTTCGGTTTTCTTCAAGTTTTCTGTTTCTCGCGTTATCACGGCAGTAACATGAATTGAGAAACCCATATTTGTTCAGTCTTTGTAATAGTATTTTATTTATATTTCTCTGCAAATCAATTCCTCATTTTCGAAATATTCTCTTATTCCCTTTATACACAAATACAATAATATTAATTAACTTCTTACCCTTATCGACATTTCCATCGATCAACAAATAACACAGCTGGTTCATAATATTTCAGTATCAGCCTTGAAACGATTCATCTCTACAGTTCATTTCACATTCCCCAAATCAATCTTGCAAATACGGATGCCCGATTTCTTTTTCATTTATTTTACGTTCCATACGCTCGACCATCCTCGTCACTGGAAGCTGAAAGTTTAAATACCGAAACATGGATACGTGTTCTGTATTCGTTCTGTTCGTAATTCGTTGCAAACGCAGCGTCCCAGTCAGCACAATGACGAAGAACCATCGTCCCAAGTGGATCCGATATGAAATCGGAACTGATCGTGCCGGAGCGAGACGAGTCCGCTCGCTAACGGCGCGAGTCGCTGCCGCTCGTCGATATTTTTATTGCTTGTCCGACGAGTATTTATACGCCGGTGCTTCTATATCGGGAACGAAAATATTTCTAGGTGGATCCGTGGAGACTGAACCGATGCAACGTCGCGCGACGCTCGCCGGCAGACGTTGCCTTCCGCGATTCCGACAAGCACGATTGAGATTTATCGGTGACACCGTCGCCCGACCACGGTTCATTTTCACTGCCACCAGGGGATTCGACACGATTTGTCAGAGTCGTTGCCTGATTCCGGCTTCAAACTCGTTCCGAGAGACGAGGATTAGGGCGGACGTTGAAGAATCGACGACGCGCGCACGTTTAAACGCGCAACAATGTTTCCTTATTCATCCTTTCTCGGTCGTTCGAGTACCAGAAAACAAACTACGCGCGGCTAGGAAATCGTAAAGGGAAACATAAATGGCTGACAGGCTTCCTGGAACTTTTGTTTGATTTCTACGATTTTTTTTTAAACTTCCCGGCGTCTTTCGTGTGGCGCCATCGACGGCGAAACCTCCAATCCGAGTCATTCGGCGCGTGTACTCAGTCTGTCGATAATGGACTGATTCTTTGGTAACACAGATTTGTCGACTGGTTCTGAGACAGAGAAAACTCGCTGATTTCTAATTGGTTTCCGCTGCACCTCGAAAGGTGGCAGCACGAAATCGGATTCGCGTGACCGCGTCAACTATGCTTTTAAATTTGTTGGTCAGGATGAAGCTGTTTTTATTAAGAATGTTTTTGAATTCAAGAATTTTTATAGGCTGTCCAGTTATTAAAAATAAAGTTCTTTAATTATAGTGGACACATTTATTCCATGAAAATGTTACTGGCAAATTTTATGCGATTAAAATAAAGTGGACATTCCATTCTCTTTCAAAAGCTATATATTCGTTTTCACTGTTTTTTCACTTATTCTTGTGCTCCAAGTATTTTCTTCTTTCTTCGCAAACGCTTTGACTTTGTACTAGCAACTTGTCGGCAAGAGAATCTTCTCGACGAGCCTGTCGAGGCTTCCTTAACAAAATGGCTTTCAAAGAAGTTATTACTCCTAGTCCGAGAGAAGCTGTTCTTTGCTTATTCCATGAGAAAACATGCTCTATAATCTAATGAGGTCAGTATTCTCAAGATGAAATGTCCTTCCCCCCCAATAAAAATGCTTATACGGATACCTTCTATCTTAAAACCTTGACAGTATTCGTACTTCGAAAACTACTATTTCCGTCTGTCTGACTCTGGACATCACATTCTACTTTCGAAACAAATATACGTAGCGATTAACAGAATTATATTCTACGATCATTGATAGCATTACGATTTATTATACAACCATTATGACGATATAAAATTATCCTTCCATTAAATTGTCCGTCCTATAACGCTGCAAATAGAGGCAAAAAATATATTTTGAAATTCATTCACGACATGTCCACCCTAGACAAAACTCCCTCAGCATGCTTCCACGTCGAGTAACCGTCAGCAGGATAGGAAGCGGATTCAATTAACCAGACCCTCATTCGCGAACGTTTACAACCAAAGGAATAATTCAACAGCCCAGAGACTTTCTTAAGACACTAGACATCTTGCTCCCCTCGTTACCAGCGGCGGATTAATAACCGTTTCTTCTTCGTAGTTCAATTTTTTCACATTATGCATCAGCTAATGATGCTTCGAGTACACGTCCTCCTCCTTCTCCCCCGCCCTCCCAGTCTGTCGCCGTTCCAGCGATTCGGTTTCGCGTCTAGAAACACTCGAACTCTTCGTAATTAGCTTACCGTTCGTAATCCAAGCCGGTTTCCCCTTATCGGTGAAACGAAACGTCCGCAGTTGTCTCGAAGTTGAACAATCCGCGTCGTTTTAACCCTCCACAGGGCGGGTGGGTTTGTTTCAATCTGATCCACCCTTTGCACTATGAGATTACCTCTGACAAATTCAATCAAAATTAAACCAGGATAGAATTAACGGTAACTTAAATCAGACTTGACCGAAAACGAAATAAAAAAACAATTACAACGCAAAGGATAAGCAAATACAATTCCCATATCGAGATCATTCGTTTATTAACAATATAGCAATGAATAATTTCAAAAAGTGAATTTTTGAACATTTAAATACTCAGATACATAACCAACTGTATTGCAAAATATTCTGCCTACCGTGTTTTCCTTCTTCTGCCACACACGTCAGCCTACCTTCAGCTAAAAATCAACTTTACGTCACACTCTAAACCTCTATTACCTCGACATGTTTGTACACTTACGTAAGTAAAGGGGTATATCCCCGTTAACTGTAAACGAATGAAAAATTACATCAGACTATCATACAAAAGCGATTTATTAAAGGGTAAAGTGATAAGTTTATGGGTTCATCGAATCCAATCCTTACATCGGATGGTTAATTCGCCCCCGTTTACTTCCAGACGGGGTGTAGGGTGGCGGGCGAGGGTTGTTCGCGGTAACAATGGCGATTTCGTCGTCTTTATTTCGCCGTTTCGGCCCTCTTTCCCCGGCTCGGTCCTCTTTATCCGTCTAACCGAGCGCGTCCCGCGACTGGATCTCTCTTTCCCTATTCGAAGGAGAACGCCGACCTCCCCTTCGTCGATGCCGCCGCCACCGGGTGGAGTTTCCGTTTTCGAGGAGTTCTGCGGGGATCGCACAAAGAGAGACCCGTCCAGAGAATCCAGTTGCCAGAAACGGGTACCCGTTGCAACACTGGCCTCATTTCCTGGACAAAGACGGTAGTTTTGCCAGTAGTTTGTCCCCGCCCCGTCGGATTCCTACGCGGAATCCCCCGGAGAATTCTGGGACCGCCGTATCCGACGCTTACCGACTGAATATTATACGCCTCCACGAGTATCGCGGCTTCTGACGTCGACGTATAGCATATCCGGTTAACGTAGTTTTCATTACCGTACGAGCTGAGGAATTGTACTCCGGGGAGTCGAAGGATGACTATTCTTTACACATTAATCACTTTCCGCGAATGTCTAGCAATGTTTTCAAATTTAAAGCTTCGTAAAGAATAGAGGACGTTTTAAACGAAGGATAACGAAATCGTTTAATATTAGGTTTACGGGATACATCAATTTGACGCATATTGCACTTTATAAAGGTTATTCGGCGAATGATTAAATCGACTTTGATTGAAACAATTACACGAGTGTATATTTTCATTGTCTATCTTCTAATCTCTGATTTGCAATGTCGGAATCAACGAACATCAATTTTTCTAGGGACAATAGAACAAGCTGCACAATAAACGCTCGTAAACGTAATGTTAAATAATCGCAATAAGTATATATCCTGTGATTTGACTATCGAGAGAATAACAGAAAATGGAGGAAAAAGGCGAAGAAGTTAAAAAAACTGGCGTAACTGAGACAAATGAGAGATAAGCAGTATTGGTGATATCTTGTTTCGCAATAGTCCCTAGTTACTTAAATACCTATCGAAGATATTCATTTGATTGTAATCGTTTTTGAACGGTTTCATCGTCTTCTTTTTTAGCTGAACGTTCCATTTAAAGCCTCGGATATTAAATTAAACTCTCCGAGAGGATTGCGATATTATTATAGAGTTAATTAATGGTATCACGGAGAAAGTTAAACTGCTCAGACTAGAAGTACCTTTTCTTCTTGTTACTCATTAGAAGCGCAATCGGTTCGCAATTCCCTCGATATTCTAAAGAACAATTTATCGTCTTGGAAATCCTCTCCGGGTACGAGCGTTCACCCTCAAAGCGGTCACGAGGATCGGTTCCCTTGAAAATATTCTACCGAGGAATAATTCTCCATCTGCTCTCGAAATCTTCCACCGTCTCCGCCGTCTGTTTCTCTCTTCCTGCGTGCCTTTAAAGAATAAGTCCATCTCTTGAAACGTTCCTTCAAAGTATAACTTTCCCGATACCTTTAAACAAGCCATTTGATAGGAAATCGAAACCCTCAGAAAGGAGAATCGTATTGAAAACTATCAAAAAGGTAAACTCTACATTCGAAGTATCCCATCCCTTTTATTCACGTCCCAGCCCATCGGTAAACGATAAGGTATCCTCAAAGAAGATCATCGGGCGTTTCTTGCTACGTTCGACTATACTTTCTAAAACACAAACGTATGTAGCAGATACAGTTACTATAAGAAGTAAATTATGAAATGTAACAAAGGTTTCTACCTCAGAAAATATTCAATTTTCTCATTTTACAATCGTGCTTTTACCTTGGAAACAACGAAACCATCTGGATAACAAAAAATAATTCTATCTAGTAGCAATGCATAAGAATTCCTCACCAGTCCCTTCAGCATTTATAGTCCCTTTATTTACGAAACCCTGTTTCCTACGAAATGCTTCAAATTCGGAAAATCCAAGCATCTATTCATTGATGCGCGCGATTTACTTCACGAAGAATCAAGCTGGGATCTAGGGATGTGCGGGTACTCGAAACTTACTAGTTCTAAACTATTCTTTTGAAAACTTGACCCGACCCAACTCGAATAATCTCAGTCCGATCCATATGCCAGGTGGCCAAAATGCTCTCGCAAACATTTTTTAGTATCAGATCCGCCATCGATTCCCGGTAACGGAAACGAATTCGAGCGCGAGACTCTCGGGGCCCTCGCGGATCGGCTTCCCTTCGAAGGCCGCGTTGTTCGGCCGTTCGCGGCGTTGGGCGGGCACGGAAGCTGCGTGGAGCCGGCGGCACGGTGCGGACGTAAAGCTATTCTTAAAATAGGGCTCGACTGAACGAAGCGAATGAACGAGAGACGCCGATACGCGGGGATGGTGGGCGGGCGACGCGGGCGGTTCGCGGCCGATTGGCGGGACGAGGACGGAGAACTGTCGCCGGAACGGGAGCGAAGGGAAGAGATCGGAAGAGGCGCGAAGAGAAGCGAAGAGAAGAGACGGCGAAGACGGAGAAAAGAGAGAGGGAACGCGGCGTGCCTCGCGGGTCGCCGGCTCTTCAGGGTCCGAGCTTCGTCCGAAACGAAGCGCCTCCGTAGCGCTCTCTTCCTTCTTCTCTTATGAGACCGTGCCGCCGGGGACGACGCTTCGCCGAGCCGTTCGTTCCTCGATCGGTTCGCCACGTTTGACCTCGAGAAACTTTGCTTTTCGCCGATCCATCGGCTCTGTCTCCTATCCTCGTCCTCCTGCTCTTCTTCCTCTTGCCTTCCTTCTTCGTTTTCATCTTCATCTTTTTCTTCTTCTTCTTCTTCTTCTTCTTCTTCTCTTCTTCTTCTTCTCTTCTTCTTCTTCTTCTTCTTCTTCTTCTTCTTCTTCTTCTTCTTCTTCTTCTTCTTCTTCTT